TAGCAAATTGGTAAACAATAGTTGTAGTGTTTGATGCTGGTCAGATGAGCATGGATGGATGCGTCATACTTGGGTAGCTTTCTTCACATTACTCCTCCTCCAGGCGCGAACTGTTGGGCAGCAATATCTGGCTCGCTTCTACAGTTCCATCGTTTCTCGGCTGACTTTGCTGCGGAACTTGATGGCCACACGGCAGCAAGATTCACAACAGACGCTGATATGGTAATTACCCTGTTGCATCTGACTGGCATAAGACAATTTGCAACATTTCTTCGGCGTAGCGCATTGCAGTACTATCGTTATTTTGGTCAGATGTCTTCACAAATCATCATGACATGAATTGTCCTAAGGATCCAAGGAAGAAGTCGTATTACAAGCTTAGTAGCCAAACATTCCGTCTCTTCGAAGGAAGGCAATGCTCCCAATACCTGCATACCGGATGTAGACTACGACCTCATGTCGACCAGACGGCTCTGTAACGTATCTAGGCAGTTTCAGTGGGTAGAACATTGTATATAACCATGTCCAGTGCTACAGCTAGCTAGTGGTTGAGGATGGCACACATTTCTCGATTCATGTTGATATACTTATGCTCGAACATGATTGGAAAGGAATTCTCATCAATTGTTGATGGTGAATCTTCTGTCTTGATTTGTAATTCTGCTATCCCAGCGTTTCTCAGGCACTGCGTGAACTTGACGCTACGTCAAGGTACACGCTTCGTCGCGCAGCCGGTTTGAACATCCCGGACGCTCTGGCGGTCCTTGTTGTGGTCCGTTTCGTTTGCGTCACCAAGGCTGGGGAGGGGCGCGGCCCCAATTGAGTAGACGTAAGTAGACAAGTGCTCAAACAACAGTGGTCCATCCCGTTGATTCGGAACGGCAAGATTTGGCTTCAGATGCCATCGCAGGCGAACTTCCAGTTCCTCGAAAAGCGAATGGGTGAGGCAATCACAGCAAAGGCCATTGAGCGTGTGATTTGGATGCTCCCGATTCTGGTGGCTGAGAAGGGGCAGCCAACCAGTTACAGGCCATAGTTTAGAACACGATGGGGAAATGGCCCTGCATTGTCTATCAGCAGACAGGGCCTAGTCACGTTACTCAACCCATGTGCCACGTGCAGGCCGTATGGGCGCGGCATTGGTCATGACGTGTTCATCGCCCGAGCCACGACGACCTTGCGCAGCTTCGCGCTTGCCCTGCAAACTGGCACTGTGGCTCTTTTCCTAGCTAGCACTGGATGCAAATTTTCTGCCTATCAGGCGCGCGTGGATTTCACGCTTGGCGCGTGAGGGCATGATGTCGTTCACTTCTGTTGTCCTCAGTGGTAACGAAATGTTGTTCACATCTTTGGGAAAGAAACACACCACCGCTTTTACCAGCAACGCTAGTCGATGCATTCCGGGGATACTTCGGATAGGAACCAACTTGCTCCGGCTGCAGGTAGAATTGGATAGCCATTTCCTGTGGGGTAGCAATGTCCGTGGACACGTGGGGACTGGTGCCACAGTGGGGAAACGCAAGGTGACCCAGACGGAATTGAAGCCTCTCGGCCTATAAGCATGCATAGTGGCATGGTTCCCCTATGTCCACTAGCTGTTCCATCGTTCATGTTCAATGTCACTGTAAAGTGCTCTTGAATTTGTTCGGCGAATAGTTGTTGATCACGGTCTCCTACATGGTAGGTGGCTTGCTTCACAAGGGCGCCGCAGAAAAGATTTCATCGACGCTCTCACTGCGCTGGACATTCCTCTAACTGTGTGGACGCCAGACTGTTGCGAATTCTGGGTCTGTGAGCTGCGCCTCCTGGTTGCATTGCATCTGACGTCATACAGCGCCACACACTCAAGACAATGTTGCATGCTACGGAGCATGATGCCGACGCGGTAGCGTCAGTGCCGACAAGGTATGTAAGCCTATAAGAAAAATGCATCTGCGATAATGTTCCCGATTCTTCCCTTATTGGAAAAAAACCTGATAGTGAGATACCATGGAAGCAATGCCCACTTCAAAAAAATAGTTACTACCTCAATGTACGTGCTGTCCGCTCTCCAGCACCATAGTCAATAGTCAAAACAATCACCCCATTTCTGTTGCTTCTACAACCCTCATATCAGTCAGACTCAAAACTTCCACACTTGAGACTTTCCACTGAAACTTCGTTTTTGGCTGTCACACTCCCAGCAACGGCAGTATCTGAGGGAAGTGGATGGCACCTAAAAAAAGGAGACGGCACGAAATCCGGAAGCTGTCGCGAGCCGACAAACTGGACATCCGTTGGATCATCCGTCACTACACGATGCAACCCACTGCCATACGGAAAAGAGAGTTCCGATGGTGTCTTGGCGGAACGAAGCAGTCGAAACGGGCTTATGAGGTCAATAAGTATCAAAACGTTGACATTGACTAACCGCCGTCACGAATCGTTATGTTGTCTATCATAAGGCTTCCAGTTTGGGAAAAGTTTTTCCGCTCTGTTGCAGCTCCTCGATGGATGTTCACTTGGGTCCTGTCTTTATATATAGTTCGGTACTGTTTCCTATCGTAACACCAGCTGGGCAGAAGACTTGTCTGTGAAATTTTGTGTTCTCAGCGTTATCACTTCAAGTTATCATTTTGTTCTCAGGTATTGGTCACGCGCTGATACCCAAGAGTGAGACGTCATGGTTCCTTGACTGCACCATGTCAAACGATTGGAGGGCTTGGCGTGTGGTCTTGAATCACGATGGCCGGAATATATCGATTATCAGCATCATTAGCCTGCGGATGTTTCACGAGATAGATGAGTATAACACGACTGACATTGCATTGAGTCACCGCCATGTGAATCCGTTTATTGTCTACCATGAGGCTTCCATTTTGGGAAAAATTTTTCCGTCCTAGATCTGCAGCAGAAGTGCCACGACTGCAGGATCTATGGTTACACCGGTTGAAGAGCCTTCATGATCATGCTGTTCTCTGCATTGTTGGGAGTCATTGGCATGTTCTTAGCCCCTTGGCTTATTGGTGTCAAGGTGACATAGTCCGACTCTTGCGTTGGGATGTTGCCAAATCACTGGGGTACTGATTGGATTGGGCTGGGGAGCACCAAGCAGTTCACAGTGACTTGGATGCTCACGATATGCCGAAGCAGTTCAAGCATCCCTTGCTTGTCTTCATGCAACTTGGCACGGTGGTTGGTTCCAGCATCCACCAGCTGTCCTGCAGCTCAGGCTACGGCCCTCACACGAATTATGTGGAGCAACAGAGACTTATTGAACATCACTATGGAAATCCCTGGCAGGCAGCTGGCATCAGCTGGCAGTTCTCCCATGTTTCATGTGGATTTTGGTGGTTTGGAAGGTCACCCCAGAACTTGTCAGCTGCAGGCTGAGCCCGAGATCGGCCAAACTTCCTGAGCGCCCAAACCACCCAATCTCTGGGCTAAACTCTGGGCCAATGGTTCGGACCCATAGCAGGGATGGTGCCGCCAATAGTTCACGAAAGTCAAGCATGTCAGCATGTCAGTATCTCAGCATGTTTTCAAATCTCTTGAAATACTGAACTTCATCCAAGCTGATCACTTGGATCGGCTGTTCGCAGGGTACCTTTCAGCGCCGTTTGCAGCGACCTTTTGCTTATCAGGCGTTAGGCCACACCTTTTGCAGTGTTACTGGTCAGCCCATGTATTTGGCATGGGAACTGGACACAAAAGTTGACCAGTCACGACCTTACTGCGTTGCTGTAGAGCTTGGGCGTTCCTCCACGGACTTAAACAAAGAATCCGTGGATGGTGGGGGAGTTCAACGAGCCCGCAGTTAAAAGTCCATTCATTGTTGGCCTGTACCATGTCTTATGCAAGGGTATAACAATGGCACATGTGCACTGTATATTTAAGATAAGGAACGGCTATTTTGATATTTGTGTAGTCCATAAACCCGCAAAGATGATCATTTCGAAGCTGCCATGGCTTCAACGGTTGGGGGTCCAACCCCTTGATGGAATCTGGCAGGTACTGCGGAGGTGCTCCGAGACGATCGCTTTTCATTTCCGAGGCTGGTACCAGGAGATGCGGAGACCATCACTTCCGCCTCATTGGAGTTTTCGAATGATTTCACGACATCGGATCTCTACGGATATCCCCCAATTAGATGATTTCTATCCTATCCATAAAACCATCTATTTGGGGACACTATAGGGATATCTTGAAACATCTTGAAACTGCATATCACATCTTATCACCAAGCAGCATCCATTGGGACTCAGATCTACACAGGATCTTTTGGGCGCCCGAGCTTTTTGCCAAAAACTATGGCCTCAAGGCCGGGAGCTGCTCTCGTCCTTTGTAACCGGCAACTCTAGAGGTATGGTCGTGTAAATAAGAAGGGGTTGTGGAATAGCCCAAGATATTAAATATTACTTGGTCGGCGTTGATATTGTTGCAGGATGGGCTACAGATTTCAAACAGTCCATTTCTAGTGGAGAAGGATGATTGGTCAGGATAGATGGGCCGGTTTTTGTCGGACTCCTAAATGGGATATAAAGCATACTAAAACCATGTACGAGACGGGAGCTACCAGATGCTCTCAGCCACAGAATTACGACATTGACATTGCCAAATTTGGCATTGGTGAGGCGGGAAGCTAACCAGAGTATTTTAGAGGACCACTCACGCAGAGTTAATTTCTTAATCTCAGCCACTCATGGGGACATGTCAGAGATGTCGAACTTATGTACGGCAACAGGACTCTGCAATGCAAAGAGATGCCACAGCAAAAATATTTCACAATCGCGCCAGATCTATGTCCGCTTCTGCAGCAGCTAGCTTTCACTTGCTTTCCACTCACTCCATTACATGTCCACTGTCCATTCACACCAGAATCTGCTCTCCACTCCCGCCATTCTTATCTCTAATATTTCATTGCTCACCACTCTACATCAGTCATACTGAACTCAACGTTGCCCCAACTTCATCTGATCTTTTTCAGCAGACAAAGCTTGACTCATTTTTCATTGCCACAGATGTCTGCCGAAACTCAGCAAGTTCAAGCTCGGCTTCGCTACAGGGGTCACAGATACAACTGTGACTTCCGCCCCGGCGACAACAGCGTCGCCTTGCTTGCTCGCCTGAACGCAATCAGAGATTTTCTTCGCGTCCAACCTGAAATCCAGAATGAGGTCTTCTCCGTACCCGACTTTGAGTTTGTCTGGCATGCAGCTTTAATTTCCGTCAAAGATTATCCCACCTCAAATGGTGTGATTAATATAGAGAGTCAAAGGATCAAGGCACCTGCTTTTCCTGCCGGGAACTTTCGATGGCACCGCTCCAACATTCCACGCTACCAGTACTTCGCCGAAGTGTTTCTATTCCTCCGACGTCGTTACTCTCTCATCACAGTCCCTAACGTAGCAGAAGCACGACAGATCCTCTCCCAACCATGTGACCTTCACTGGAAAATGTGTGAATATGCCGCTCATCCTTGGTTCTGCTTGGTTTTGGGGCCACGCCTAGATTTCTTCGCGCAGACTGTCGAACTGTTGCAGCAAACATCTTGTTTCCAACAACAAGCCTGGTCGACGGATGCCTTCCATGATCTATGGCAAACGATTCAAGAGATATCTCTGGGCTAAACTCTGGGCCAATGGTTCGGACCCATAGCAGGGATGGTGCCGCCAATAGTTCACGAAAGTCAAGCATATCAGCATGTCAGTATGTCAGCATGTCTTCAAATCTCTTGAAATACTGAACTTCATCCAAGCTGATCACTTGGATCGGCTGTTCGCAGGGTACCTTTCAGCGCCGTTTGCAGCGACCTTTTGCTTATCAGGCGTTAGGCCACACCTTTTGCAGTGTTACTGGTCAGCCCATGTATTTGGCATGGGAACTGGACACAAAAGTTGACCAGTCACGACCTTACTGCATTGCTGTAGAGCTTGGGCGTGCCTCCACGGACGAATCCGTGGATGGTGGGGGAGTTCAACGAGCCCACAGTTAAAAGTCCATTCATTGTTGGCCTGTACCATGTCTTATGCAAGGGTATAACAATGGCACATGTGCACTGTATATTTAAGATAAGGAACGGCTATTTTGATATTTGTGTAGTCCATAAACCCGCAAAGATGATCATTTCGAAGCTGCCATGGCTTCAACGGTTGGGGGTCCAACCTCTTGATGGAATCTGGCAGGTACTGCGGAGGTGCTCCGAGACGATCGCTTTTCATTTCCGAGGCTGGTACCAGGAGATGCGGAGACCATCACTTCCGCCTCATTGGAGTTTTCGAATGATTTCACGACATCAGATCTCTACGGATATCCCCCAATTAGATGATTTCTATCCTATCCATAAAACCATCTATTTGGGGACACTATAGGGATATCTTGAAACATCTTGAAACTGCATATCACATCTTATCACCAAGCAGCATCCATTGGGACTCGGATCTACACAGGATCTTTTGGGCGCCCGAGCTTTTTGCCAAAAACTATGGCCTCAAGGCCGGGAGCTGCTCTCGTCCTTTGTAACCGGCAACTCTAGAGGTATGGTCGTGTAAATAAGAAGGGGTTGTGGAATAGCCCAAGATATTAAATATTACCTTTGGTCGGCGTTGATATTGTTGCAGGATGGGCTACAGATTTCAAACAGTCCATTTCTAGTGGAGAAGGATGATTGGTCAGGATAGATGGGCCGGTTTTTTGTCGGGCTCCTAAATGGGATATAAAGCATACTAAAACCATGTACGAGACGGGAGCTACCAGATGCTCTCAGCCACAGAATTACGACATTGACATTGCCAAATTTGGCATTGGTGAGGCGGGAAGCTAACCAGAGTATTTTAGAGGACCACTCACGCAGAGTTAATTTCTTAATCTCAGCCACTCATGGGGACATGTCAGAGATGTCGAACTTATGTACGGCAACAGGACTCTGCAATGCAAAGAGATGCCACAGCAAAAATATTTCACAATCGCGCCAGATCTATGTCCGCTTCTGCAGCAGCTAGCTTTCACTTGCTTTCCACTCACTCCATTACATGTCCACTGTCCATTCACACCAGAATCTGCTCTCCACTCCCGCCATTTTTATCTCTAATATTTCATTGCTCACCACTCTACATCAGTCATACTGAACTCAACGTTGCCCCAACTTCATCTGATCTTTTTCAGCAGACAAAGCTTGACTCATTTTTCATTGCCACAGATGTCTGCCGAAACTCAGCGAATTCAAGCTCGGTTTCGCTACAGGGGTCACAGATACAACTGTGACTTCCGCCCCGGCGACAACAGCGTCGCCTTGCTTGCTCGCCTGAACGCAATCAGAGATTTTCTTCGCGTCCAACCTGAAATCCAGAATGAGGTCTTCTCCGTACCCGACTTTGAGTTTGTCTGGCATGCAGCTTCAATTTCCGTCAAAGATTATCCCACCTCAAATGGTGTGATTAATATAGAGAGTCAAAGGATCAAGGCACCTGCTTTTCCTGCCGGGAACTTTCGATGGCACCGCTCCAACATTCCACGCTACCAGTACTTCGCTGAAGTGTTTCTATTCCTCCGACGTCGTTACTCTCTCATCACAGTCCCTAACGTAGCAGAAGCACGACAAATCCTCTCCCGAAAATGTGTGAATATGCCGCTCATCCTTGGTTTTGCTTGGTTTTGGGGCCACGCCTAGATTTCTTCGCGCAGACTGTCGAACTGTTGCAGCAAACATCTTGTTTCCAACAACAAGCCTGGTCGACGGATGCCTTCCATGATCTATGGCAAACGATTCAAGAGATCTCAGGTACCCATGCAAACCAGATCACACTACTGCGCTGCTATCAAGACCAACGGTGGCGACGAACAATTCCAGCACATCTACTCATCGTCACAGCAGAACTACTGCATTACTTGGCTACTCGACCTGTGATGCCCCTAGACAAATTTTTACATTGTTTCGATGTTTGTATGCAATACCCTGCAGAGCAATGGGATTTCTGGTGCCGATCTTCAGCAGAACGTCTTGCAGTCCTAGCAACAGCAGCTGCTACCACCGCTTCAGAACCGACATTCTATTCCACAGATGTACAACCAGCCGCAAATTCCACTGCTCGCTCTCGGCGCCTGGCAGAATCTGCTCAAAAGTGGCCTTCAGCTATTCCAGCTTCCATACTCCTGGCGCATGCAAAGGAATACCATGAGCAGTTTCATCAGTGTTTACAACCACCCCGCCTCTGCGGCATCTGCGCGTGCCCAATCTGGGACATGACCTTCGAACTACTGGACTTCCGCGCCCCACCATGCGACCTTGCTCAGCTGCATCCCCTACTTTCTGGAACTCTTTTCCTCAAAGAATTTGCCAACTATGCCACTCTCGATGTACCACCAGCTTTCCGTGGCCTAACACCCCAACGACTACAAGAATTCTTCGTACCTGCTCCTATAGAGGTCAATCCTGATGCATCTGCTTCTTACCTACCAAATTTACATATGTTCCTTTTTTCTGCCAATAACAGTTCCCAACAAAATCGGTCGGTCATCAGATTCCTTTCCTGTCAAATCTGCAAATATTTCCTTTTTTTTGCCAGTCAGAGTTCCCGGCGCGAGTTTTCGGTTATTACTTTTGCCTCAGGACGTTTGGCTCCTGCACCTTGCGCCAGATGCTCAAGAAACATGGAAAATCGCAACATTCGATCCAACTGCCTCATTGCAGTGCCTGGCATGTGTCCCGTGTGCTCGGTCTTTCCGCAAAGCGTCGCCTACCTTGCCTCCATCTGCATTGGCCAACAACAATCTCTGTCTACCAGCACCAGAGGAACTCCAGTCATTGTCCTTTGGGGAACAACTTTTCATTGCACGAGGGTTTGCTGTCCGTCGGCTCCGCACATTGACTCCTTCTGGTGACCCAGAAGCACGCCAACAAGGCATGCTTGGCACTACCAGTGCCATCGCATTCCCGCAGAATGCCGCTACAATTTTTTCACAACTTCCAGTCTCTGCAGCGCAGGTCTCTGACTACCTGAGTGTCTTCTTCACAGATGCATTGCAAAGCAACTTGCATTTCTCCAAGGAGTTCGTCGTGAGACGCAGCGCAGTCCATCGCGCTCTGCTCTGGCTCACGCAACACAACCCTTACTATGCTGACATCACCATTGACATGTCATCCTTGCAAGACCTTCCTGCTAACGGTGTGCCACCAGCCTGGGCTGCTCTTGCTCAAGTCAGCCAAGAATCTTTGACCAGGGAATTTGGTCCAGTTGACGCATCTACTGCTGGTGGAACAGATTCCGCAATTCATGCTGCTGTTCTTGACCCTGGCGTCGACCACACAGACCCTTTGCAACTTTGGAATACTGCTCTGCTAGCTTGCGAGCGCTACGAGCGTCATGCCACCTCCAATGCTGTTTCTGCCGCTGCTGATGTTCACGTAGTACAATACGCTCTTCGATCCCTAGCCTCCAGCAGCAACCATCGCTCTTTCGAACAGGATCTCATCCATCAGACCCGGCCCGCCCAAAGCAAAGAAAAGCTCTATGTCGTTGTCCCCCATGCCGACGAACCGCTTAACAGTTACGACCCTTTCTTCTGGACGGCATGTTTCCCACTGCAATTCCCATACGGAGATGGTATTGATGGCCAACCACGTCGAACATATCTCTCTGATCATGACTGGGGAAAACTTTTGCTCCTACGACGTGATCGGCCCCTTCAGCTTCATCCGAGAAAAGATTTGGATTTCATTTCTGTTCTCTTTTCTGTGCTGCATAGACGCCGTCTCCTTCGCGCAGTTCGCATACGAGTCCAAGCCCCACATTTCCGAGAGCAACTCCCTTCCTTTGCCAACCTTCAAGCTACTGACTGGACGCAAGTAGCAAGCACTGTCGGAGAGTACCTTCTCTGCAGCAATGGTTTTCACTAGCATCCATTTTTCCCTCCATATTCACTACCTTTACTCCCTTTACAATCTTTACATACATACATGATCAATATAATTCCTCATTCCTTCCTTTCACTTGCTATCTGCCTTCTTCGACTTTCTACCATCTACAACTTGTCATGCTACCGAACAACTCCTTTGTCTGCTCAGGCATGGCTCCATCCCTGATGCATTGCGCTCTCATGACATTCCAAATGCCATGAAAGCCATCCTTCGCTGCTTGCAAGCAGTGCAAGGACAAATTCCCTGCACGGATGCAGCTCGACGCATGATGCGTGGTGAACTGACTTCTCTCATCACTTATTTTGGTTGTCCTTCACTATTTGTTACGTTCAATCCTGCTGACGTCTTGCATCCCTTTACCTGGCGACGTGGTTTGACAACACCTCCCACACCATTACCACAGGTGCAACTTGATCAGCATCTTTTGTGTGCCCTCCGTGACGCCAATCTGTGGCGAATGGTCGCGCTTGATCCGACGGCAGCAGTCGAAGCTTTCCATCTACATGTCAACACTTTCCTCTCCACGTTATTGAAAGTGGTTCCATCCGCCCAGCAGCTTCCAACAGATGGTATTGCTTCCATTGACGGGCAAGGCATCTTCGGTCCACTTAGCGCAGCTTTTGGTGTAATCGAACCACAGCAAAGAGGCAGCCTACATATTCATTTCCTCTTGTTCTGTTACGGCTTCCAGGACCCCCATGTCTTAGTGCAAAACTTTGCTGCGCAACTCCCTCTTCTAGAAGAGCGACTTTGGGCATGGATCAACTCCATCGTCGTCACATCCTTCGAAGCCATCCCCCCTATGTTTGACTTGCCACGCTCAACGTTGGAAAACTTACGGCCCTTGCCATATTCCGATGCACAGATGAAGCTCATGCATCCACACTACCGGCCACACCTCGTCGCTGCCAGCGATCATTGGTTTGCGGCTGACCCCAACAATTTCCTGTATGCCCATGATTTCATCGACTGCCCATTCGCTCTCGACATGCCTGTGCAAAAGCCTTTTGTTCCTTGGTGCTTGGACTACCTTGCAACCACAATCGCCCCACTGCACACAGACACTGCATCCATGCTCCTCTACGATCTACGTGCTTCTGTGCTTTACAGTGGTCTTCTTCACTGCTGCCAACCAAAGACGTGTTACAAGGGCAAAATTGGAAAGAGAGGCTATTGTAGGCTATCTTTCTGGCATTGGCTACCTCTTGGCTTTCATGTCTGGGAACGTTGTCACGGTATTGAGCTTTGCCCCAAGCCTCTGCTTGGAACCAAGCCACCTCACATCGACGCATTTCAAACAGAACGGCACCATCAGTTCTTCGGTCGCATGAACCCTATCATACTGGCTACTTGCAAATGCAACCATGACATCTCCACCCTTCTACGTTTTCCAGCCGACTACCTCCAATCACCCAATCCTGCTGCATTGATTCGCCGACGGATGGCTCAGAACATGTCCACCTTGGTGTTTTATGTCAGTTGCTACACTACAAAGACACAACCCCACCTGGCTTCCTTGTGGACCTTACTTCATACCGCAACACACAAACTGCAGCAAGACCTCGGCGCACCTCATGCAGGCATGGACCACAAAGCTCGAGCACGCTCAACCCTGTCCAAATTGCTGATGTCCTGCCAACGGCGTATACACAAGTCAGTCCAAGAAATGATTTCTTACCTGTTGGGCTACCCAGAGGCTTATTCTACACATTCCTTCCACAAACTCTACTTCTACCATCTGGCTGCTCGACTCGAGAGCTCCGAACCGTTTGATGGCTCACACCTCGCTTCCGTCGAAGCCGCAACGCCATCTTCAGTTCTCATCTTCCCTGAAGAAAGCATTCAAGCTTGCTCTGACACCAACAACCACTTCAGACAGCCTCAGTTCTATACTCCCTCCAGTGATGATTATCCTTTTCGCGGCGACGATCTACAAGGTTGGCCCCTCTACTTCTACGCAGCTGGTGTCACACGCATTCCGACATCCAAAACAACATTCAAAACTCCCGGAAACATTCCCTTCCTACCGCAGCATCCACGCGCAACTTCGCTTCGACAGCAAGTCTTGACAGCAACTGCCTGGAAAATACCACATTTGATGGGACCGCGAATTCCACCGGTTACAGAAGATGCCAACAAACGCGGTCTCTTACTTTTGCTTCTGTTCAAGCCTTGGGTTGATCTCCACCAATTGCTTCCCAGCTCTGTCGGCTGCGCCAGCTGGTCCGAAGCCTTTGACACTTGGTTTGCTGGTCTCCTTGCTTCACTACCATCACCTTCTACACGTGCTTCCCCCTTGAGTGCTGAATATTGGGCACAACGTACACTGCATATCATCAACCACATCGACAACATGGGGCTCTCTGACCCCACAACTGCTGATCGCGAACTCCTTTGCAATCCTGATGAATTGCACGGCGTCCCCGACACCACAACCGTGGAACATGGTCCACCTCCTGGGCAACTTGATTCCGACTCTGACGTCAGCTGCGATCAAACCTACGACATAGACTACGGCGACCTGGATCCACACGATTTTCCCGATGAGGCGCCTTAAAGGAATCACTTTGCTTCCTGTCAACTATGTTCCCGGAAAGACATCCCAAATAGCGTTCCGGAGCCTATTCCTTTTCAAGCTTCTACCTTCCGCTCCTTTGCTCTAACAAGGAATTATATAATATAAATCCCCCTCATGCAATATCTATAAGTTTGAGGAGGTCAACGTCTCTAGGTTGATCACTATAAAATTGCTGACAACAACCCTTTGACTTAATTCAACGGGGGATTCATATAACATATCCACGACTGTGGCACCTATCCCATCGCAACTTTTACGCTAGGCCTCAGCTTCAGCTTCAATTCGAACTTCACCATCATTTGCAGCAACGTGGGACATTCTACTGCCACTGTCCCGTTCCGAATTATGGCCTCTTCCACCAGCCTCCGCAAGCTTCGTCATTCTCTTCCGCATACTCAATGACGCAATTGTGGGCACGCAATCTTACTCACCATGTGATCCTGCCGACGTTTATCATGGCTGGCCTTTTCCATCTCATCTTTCACTGCGTCAACTGCAACGCGATGAGAAAACGTGGGACCCAGCATTGCCTACTCCACCAACCTCGCAATCGCATCCTGCGGGCAGCAATTTCCCTCAGCCTCCTTTCCCAAAAACAGAAACAACTGTTTTCGATCGCATCACCGCATGGATCCAAGACGGCCGATGCTCCAACTCCGTTGGCGCCATCAACTTGAAACAAGCCGCCTACTTGCTCTTGGTTGGAGCCTGGCTGCAAGCCACACTGAATCGTGCTTGGGGGTTTACTACTGCCCTTCCACCATTTCAGGCATCGTTGCTTCTCGGCGGGCCAGGAACTGGCAAAACTTTCATCACCAACTGCGCCGCCGACCTCTTGCACTTCTTTCTGCCTTCTTCCACCCTGCAGGCTGCTTTCACTCATCGGGCCGCACGTCTAGTCGCAGGACAAACTCTGCACGCCGCTTTGGCCTTACCTTTTGATTTCAGCACTGCTTCGGCATCAGCAATTTCTTCCCTTGGTTCCCAGAAAGATGCATTGATTCGCCTCTGGCACAAAGTCACAACATTTTTCATCGACGAGGTGTCCATGATCTCCAACGAAATCCTAGCATTCATCGATCTGCGCTGTCGCCAAATATTCAATTTACATACTACTCCATGGGGAGGTCTTGCTCTGCGATTAGATGGTGACTTTCACCAACTTCCTCCAATCGGTGCTTCCTGCCTGATCAACCCACCACGTGCCACTCAACCAGACGCATCAACACCAACCTCAGCCTCTTCGCCCTCCTTGATGCACGCTGCCGCAGGCGCAGCCCTTTGGCGATCTATTTCCGCAGTCCTGATACTCGAGGAAAGCCATCGCTGCAGAGGTCCACTGCAACAACTTCTACAGGATTTACTTTCCGATCAAGGCATCTCCCACGAGTCCTGCCAACATTTACACCATCGACTCCTTCAAACTGCAGATGCTCGCATGTTCCAACCCAAATTCCACCCCAGCACCTGCACAGTCGGTGTCATGCGGCATACAATCCGTGTTTGCAAGACCATGCAAAGAGCCCAGCAAGCCGCTCAATCCGCCGGGCACCGGCTTGTCTTGGCTGTCGCTGCAGATCGCAGCTCTTTCGGGAACCGCAACGTGACACTGGATCCGACACTGGCACAGGAGGCAGCCGCAGTACACACTCTATCTGCAACTGCAAATCTACCTGGTTTTCTTGCATTATATCCTGGTGTTCAACTTTGCCTTGAGACCAAACTCTGTCCAGAACTCGGCGTCGTTCGTGGCTGCACTGTCATCATCGACGACATCGTATTGGCAGACATTGAGCCGTCGCTTGCCACTTTTCAGCTTGAAACATCGTTTCCTTATTCGCCTTTCTCCATGTCTCCTCATCGCAACTAAGGTCGTTTCCTCGCGACCCGACATTGCCTCCACATCCTTTATTGTATTTGCCACAAGCATTGCTCCTGCGCGTTCCTAATGCTACTTGGGTGAAACATGCTGCACTCGGAGCCGGACGTTTCTTGTTGACGCCGACAACCCAACCATGGCGATTCTACCCTCGGGATGCCCACGTGGATCACGCACTTCTGGACGCAGACAATAAAGCCTTCCTACAACTGCATCGATGCCAAATACCCGCCACCAACCTCTTTGCACTCACCCATTACACACTCCAAGGACAAACCCTACCTGCTATCATTCTGGATCTCGCAAGACCTCCACAAATGAAATTAGTGCCTCGTCGTTTTCTATCCGCAAACTGTTTGTCACTATTCCCACTGTGCTGCCTTAATTTCTAGCTCTCTTTGGCATCAATCTAACACCCCTTAAACGCCAAGGATGACTACTGGATCGCTTGCTTCGTTTTGCTCAGCCGGGTCCAAAACATAGACGACGTCCTTCTCCTGCGTCTCCCTGACTTTACTGCTCTGAACAAGCCCAGGCCAGAACATTTACGTTCTGCTTACAACATGTTCCGCACAAAGGAACATACGACTCTTCAGCAGCTCGACAATATCCTGCGAGGATACAATCTGCAGTATCTACGTGATACGGTCACTCTCCCGCTGCTAGCTTCCCATCAACCTGCTCGACCAGCACCAAAGCTTGTGCGTCGAGCCCGACGTTGAGCGACTACAAACATCGTCATGACGCTGCCTGAAACAAATGTCCACCGCTGCCACGAGCCTTGTGTCTTCGTCGTTACATACCTCCAATTCTCTTATCAATACCTGTTGTTAAACCATTTTCCTTCTATCCGATACCAAACATCAACATTGGCCATGATAGTTGTAGCCAGTCGAGATGTCAAACCCACAGTTATACACAAGTCTCGCCACTGACGGCAGGTCTGCTCACAGTACCTGGCGCTGCGTGAAGCAAACATAGCTCTTGGTACAGGCTCTGCGACCTCGGCTATCATTCGGGGTGAGAACCCAATGAAGAGAAATGCATGTGGCAGGAACATCGATTTGTGTACAATCAATGGTACCAATACTGAATAGTGACTGACCAAGGCTTCCGTTTCGGGAAAAATTTTTCAGGCGGAAAATGGTACTATGACGCTGATTCAACATGGTTCCGTATGAAACAGCTTTGGGAACATATTGATCTTTGTCATTCGCGCAAGTTCTAAACAGTCTTGAAAATACTCATCTCTGAACAGATCCCAAATGTACATCCCCAATACTATCAATGTCCAGAGATTGTGCATATCTCATCTTGCCTTACTATGGCCAACAATGGTCATTGGTAGGGTGAAATATGGGTTTATACATGCTGATTATTTCCAGTGACATTTGCTTCATTCCTCATATGATATATACATGTTTAACTCACTAAATATGTATCTTTTCTCCCTCATCCAGATACATCTTGCCAAACCAATCCATAACTCCGGTTCTGCCAGGTGCCAACGAGACTAGCAGCTCCTCACCTCGGCTTACCCACATGCGGTCCAAA